TTCAATAGACAGAAAATTAATAGAGTGATATTATTGGAAATATTAATGTGACTCTGCGAGAAGCAATTACGATTGATAACCACCATAATAAGGATATCCCCGGCAAACTAACAAAGCCGTAATATTTCATTATATGACGCTGTATGACGTTAGAAGCGAATCAATTAAAAGACTGTTGCCGAAGTCATTAAAACAAGTTTTGAATTTTTACTTATAATAAATCGATCTAAAAAGTATTTAACCAAACGGCAAATTATGAAACTTATACCACTGGAAATAATAATGAGACTCTCGCGAGAAGTAATTACGATTCATAACCACCACGACAAAATTATCCCCCGGCATACTAACGAAGCGGCGACGTTTCAACATGACGCTGTATGATGTTAGAGGGGAATCAGTTGAAAGACTGTTGCCGAAGTCATTAAAGAACGTTTTGCAGTTCTAACCCACAATTAGTAAATCGATCTCATGCACGACCTAGAAAGTATTTAGCTAAACCTTGACCACGACCTTCCTAACGACTTCTAATTTAGAAATAGCGAATTAGCAATCTCTCCAAGTTCTAATTTCAATGGTGATGCAGTTAAAGATCAGAAAGACGAGGTTTCGTGTTAATGATTCAACAGGAAGATAACAAGAGCGTAGAACGGAAGTGGCAGAAGGTGAGAGAGTAGGCTGAATAAATCGCACAGCTTATCCGCAATTTAATCGAGGTTGCCCTAATTAATGGAACGTTTGATAGATGACGCGGATTAAATGTGACCTCCTCTAGAATCAAATAAAATCTGACCGACATAATGTGAAAATTGATACATCGATATATGTATATGAACGAGAGATTTTCTCTTTACTTTAAATCAATCTTTCCTCCGATATTACAAAATCAATAGCGAATTGAATTTATTATCTCAATTTATTCAATATATCGACTCGCGTAAAAACAAAAGTTATGAAGAAAGAAAACAAATTGTATCTTGAAATCATCGAATAGAAATTGAAATCCATTGATTAATATTATTCCGAAAGTCACCTAGCTATTCTCGAGATTACATCCCTATCAAACGCGGCCGAACGGACAGATAAGCAGATATAACGGCGATCTAATCTCGTCTATATATACAAGCGCGTTTGTCTTTCGTGTACATAAATTAGGACACATTGAGGAGACACCTTTCACACCCGCCTCTGCAGGTGCACGTGCATAAACACACGAGTATGCATATCTACCTACATCGCTTACGACGGATCTGTCAGTGCGAGCGTCGCGCGGTATACAAAGCCGGGACCAAACATCTCTCCTGTTTCGAGACCGGTAGACGACGAACCTGTATATACAAGCGATGTAAATACCTTGACATTCCGTGATGTTGAGACAGTATGAGGAGCAACTTCCTGCGGCCATACATACCGCTCGTATTTCGATAGCGTTCCAAAATGTGGGAAATGCAGATGGAGCTGTTAACTTGCCAGCCTTTAAAATGGCAGGCAGACACCGCGAAACAAAATAGTTTAAAGATATTTCGACATGACTGTTAGGAGAGATATATTTATAATTTAATAAAAATGCTTATAAATAAATTATTGTAGGATGTTTTTATTATAATGGTATATATGGATGGATAAAATTGATTGCGACGTGCTGTTCAGATAACAAGAACGTCATAACTATCATTTTTTAGCGACTAGAAAATCTTACAGGTTTTCACGAACATGCCTCGGAGAAGAGGAGAAGACTATTTCTCTCTGCCAAAAGGCTAGCAGTTGATAGAACAATCTACTTTGACGCGAGAAAGTGCTGAACCAATAAAGATAAAAAGTGTTAGAGATCAACATCTAAAATACTGTCAATATCTCAAAATTCACGGTTTTAATAAGTCGAGAAATTTTCCTACATTAGTTGAATATATATTAGTTTTACTCCTCTTTAGAAGACACCTTTGAAACCTTATATGTATAACCTTCTATATGATATAGTTCATCGTTCAAAGGTTAAACATACAAAGATCTATATCGCGTCGGTAAACATTCCTTAAATGGAGAAATAAGACGTATGTTACGTCACGTTTCTCGTCACATTGTCTTATAAATCCTTCGAATAAATTATGATATCGTAAAAACGTCGCTGCCACACCTTATTTTTCGGTAATCGAGAAATTCGCTAATTTCAATTTTTTGCTCCCTAAAACAGCAATTATTTTTTGTTCCCTTTAATTCAGTCTGCCTCGCAGTACGCGTAGGATAAGCAAACTATCAGCAGATTCTCCCCCAAGCGCAAAAAAGCTTCATGCAGCTTAAAAGCCCTTTCTTCGAGATACGATAACGGAACCTTTCCATTCCTTCCCCTGCGCGAATATCATTCTCAGCTAATGCTTGAACGTAAGCGCTCAGAAAGTATATATACCTTTCAAACGATTTATAGTAGCAATATTCGACAAGCCGCCGCAGCAGAAATAAGGATGACCTGAATCCTAAAAACCAAACAAAAGCGGCTAAAGAAAAGCACACTGAATCTCGCAAACGATATCGACGGACTTATAAGAATTCTAACTATCGCGAAGTGAGACTTAAAGATGGTTAGAAAGATATTAAAGTCAATGGCAAATTGATTGTGTGATCAAATAATTCCTTTCCGTATAATAAAATATAAGTATTTCTAAACATTCTGTATATTTTAATTTTACCTGTAGTAATTTTTAGCATACTGATTGATCAAATTTAACTATTGCGATAACTCGTGAAACTGATTAGAATTCTGCCACAGAAGATTAACTGTTTTGTAATTCGTACTACGCTTTAACTATATCAATCGTGTATCTCTGTTAACCTGGTATTTCCTCCACGAAAAAACAAATTTGAATGTATAATTAATTGTTAACTTATTGCTAATTTACTGCTCTAATCCTTAATTTAATGTTCTTACCAATTAGCTAAAAATTGACATTAAGAATTGAGAGTACTGACTTAATATTACGCTAGTATTCCGATTTTCACTTATAAAAATTTCAATTATTAATAGAAATTGAAAAAGAAAACAATTAACTGTATTGGCATAATATATTCTTTATTCTCATAATTTAATCTCTAGCAATATGAACGTTGGAGCGTTATTGATTACATTTTAAACCTTTTCCTCGAGTAATAAATTTTTAAAATTAGGATATTTCGGCAGCAATTAATTTGGGAAACATTTTAATGTCAAGCTGATATTAACTTATTTTAATAATTTATTGTATATATACAATATAGTTATATAGTATTCATATTAATGTATCTATAAGAATTTAATATTTTTGAAATCTATTTCTACAGTATATCTGAGCAATTAATTACCAATTAATTCAAATATATTTGTTTTTTGTATTTACGATTCGCAATTAATATTTTTCAAAAAAGTAAAAGCGCGTAATGTTCAGCCGGCAAACATATTTTTAATATCAATTTCTTGCTAATTCGCAGGACCAACAAATTCGGGATTAAAATAAATTAGTAATAATTTAATAGTTAATTATGTCATGCATTCAGATTTGATTTCTTGTTATCAGAATAGACATGCCCAGGTTAACCGAGGTCAACTGAGCAAGCCTTTACGCGCGCGCGCATTATTCTGCATTATCTGCTTCTGACGTCCGGCAATATCACAAATTCTCGATCATTTACTGTCCGCTATTATTACACCTGAATTTCGGCCAGTGTCCCTGCAGCGTTGTGGTTTTCCCATTAAATTATAATGGGCGTGCTTGCGCGATATTGTGCGCCAAGTTAAAAAACGATGAAGATAAAAATAATTCAAAGTATGTTTCTACAAAGAATTTCAGAATATTTAAAAATTACTACGTAGATGAAATATTTTAAAAACTACTATCTCGACAATATTTTTTTAAGAAAAAGTTTGTACTTTTATGTGAAATTTATGTAATTCGCTAAAATCAACATTTGGTAAAGATATGAAATTAAAAATGGAAGTTCTCCTACATGTATTTTAAAATGTTCTTTTACACAATTTCATTGCAGCATTACTGGGGAAAAGATAGAGATAACTCAGATGACATAACATGAATTATACACCGTATGTGGGAAAATGTTTCTCACATTTTCTTCTTTTTCCGGATCAGACACGTTAAATATTAATGAGAAGTGATAACGAAGCTAATGGTAATTGGGGTCGAATACGCGAGACACGTGTTTTTTTATTTTCCTTTTCTTCATGATATAATACGCGCGTGGATCTATAGAATATTGCAATTTTTATTAAATTAAATAAATAAAATCAAATATTTTTGAAAAATAATATTAATGTTATTGAATTATATTTCAGACGGGGGATTTCGAGTGAAACGCACAAATATATCCGATCTGTCACGATGTTATCTCCGCCGTCTCGGCAAATAATTTGAATCCCGAGGGTAACCGAGTAAATCCGACAATCTCGAAAGCGAAGAAATTCGATTCTCGTGGAGATTCTCTGTGTGCCTCGGATAACGGCAGCAATTCTATGTTTCTGAGGAGGCGCGAATATCGTCAGCTGATTCCCGGTTCGTGCAAATCGCACGTTGAAATCGGAGCTACATAACGGCTATCGATTCCACTTTCCGCGCGGCGAGTGAACCACGCATTCCAACGCGAGAAATGTAAAAATTGTTCGCTATTCAATCTCCCCCTCCCTCTATGATATAGCGAGTAATATTTATCAGAGATGAAAATGACATATTTTGATCAATTGTTGCGCGAAAAAATTATCCTGAGTGTATGTCGTAATTCTGTTAACTATGCGCAATAATTCTCGAATATGAGGACAAAAAAATTACGCTCTTTCGTTGTATCAAATTTTCAATTAATTTTGTATCTTATTGTGTATTTTATTTTATATTTTATTCTATTTATTTTTCTCACATTTTGTGTGTACGACTGTATTTATCAAGACATTATATTATACCGGATAGAAACGAAAATATATATCGAAATCGAAAAAGCCAGATCAAAGATGTATTTCCATTCAGTTGCAGAACAAAGGAAAATGTCAACGGGGGTGAGAGCTGGTCGACCCACCATGCCAACGATTCCGCATTCTAAAAGGCCTACAATTTTGGTATATCCAACGGGTAAGAACGCAAACATCGCGTTTCTAATTCAGCCGAAACTAAATTTTACTTCGCTGTAAGAAATATATATATATATACATATTTCTTGGAGCGAAGTAAAATTAGTAATATAATAATGCCAGCATGAAATGTAAGAGCGATATGTGTGTGTGTGTGTGTGTGTGTGCGTGCGTGCGCGTGCGTGTGTGTGCGTGCGCGTGCGTGTGTGTGTGTGTGTGTGTGTGTGTAAGCCGCTTACATCATGTTGGCATTATTATCATGAATCGCATCTCATTTTGAAGACGCCGTATATTAACTACGCGAGATGATGTTTAATTAGACGCTTGTATGAAGTATTAGATCGTGCTCGCGGCGGTGGAGAATTATAAACGAGTAGCTGCACTGAGAAAAAAAAGTTGTTAACTTGACTAAATGCGTTCAACTAATTATTATTTCTTTAATTGAAATATTTAAGTATTTAAATTAAATATGTTTCTTTAATTGAAATATTTAAGTATTTAAATTAAATATGACATATTAAATCTAACATGACGTATTTGACTTAAGTACTTAAATATTTCAATTAAAAAAATGATAATCAGTTGAACGCATTTAGTCAAGTTAACAACTTTTTTTTCTCAGTGTGGAAGAACCGAGTTTGAAGAAGCGAAGAAAGAAAGAAAGAGAGAGAGAGAGAGAGAGAGAAAGAGACAATAGGTTGATAATATAATTAGTGTCAGGCAGTTGCCTGTTACATAACGTGAATTACGAGGAATACGAATACGCTAACAAGATAACAATGTATATAATACAATAAAACAATACCATTATCGGTTTATTCGCCGATTAAAGACTTACCTGATTGCTACTGACGATGACGAGTGTAAATTCATATACGAATATCTGAAATAATGGAATTCTATTCCCTTTAAGTAATCTGGAATATCGACTTTTTCGTAATTGTATTTCAAGAGATTCTTAATTAACACTTAATTAACCTAGGAAGCCTGTTTAAAGAATAAAGTATTTCGGCGAAGCGAAATACTTTCAAAGCTTTCCACTGGATTAATTAGTTGACGTTAAAACTTTAGAAACTTTAGAGTTTTCGCGCAATCGGGGTATCATTCAAATCCCCACAATACTTCTAATTTGCAGCTGCGTAGCAACAACTACGGAAAATTGCGCGTACACGCTAAAAACAAATCCTTAATTTTCAGAGACGCGACAAACATGCGAAATATAAAACATTTAAATTTCACAAAATATTACACTATTATATATATATCCTATTTTTTAAATTAATCAAAATTAGCGCACATAATTAACAAATTAAGATTTTTCTTAAATGGGAAACAGAAAACCAAGTCTCAACTGGTTCACTTACGCCGTTTAACAGCATGGATAAAATAATAGCAAGCATAAAGGCAATTCAATATACGGATCTAATATAGCGAATACAGAATGGAGGCAAAACGCATGGGTATTCTATGCTATGCCAATAACAAGGCTTGCAGCAGAATTCTGAAAACAAAGTTCAGTTAAAAGCATAAACTCAAGCAATATAATTGAAATTTTAAACAATTTATGCAAAGCAGTTTAATGTTTCATTATATTTTAATAAAATCAAAAGTTTGAAATATCGATAATATTCTGTTGAATTTCCCGTTTCTGCAAAAAAAATATTGTCTTTAACAATCAACTAATTTTCACAAGTTTATCATAGCAAACTATATGCTATTGAACAATATAAATAAATCTTAATTTTATTTTTATGATCTAAATTTGAATCATTTTGCAGTTGATAATTGAATTTATTTATAGTTGCATAAGCATGATTTTATATATAGATTAAAACAGTTAGTTAAAATAGATCAATTTCTTTTTATATTTCATTATATAATTTTATTTTTATTTTTATTATCTAAAGCAAACTCTAGTTCAGAAAATTATTGTACATGATTAAAATGTGTTTGCATCTTTCAGTGACGCCGGAAAGCATAATAATACCCATCGTCTCCTGCATTTTGGGGTTTCCATTGCTAGCATTAATGGTAATTTGCTGCCTACGGAGAAGAGCGAAACTCGCTAGGGAACGAGCTCGGCGAAGAAATTGTGATTTGGATCATGGCGCATTGAGCCTCGTTCGTTTCAGCCCAGTTCATCGTCTAGGTGAGTAGAGTATACAACCAAGTTTAAAAAGTGAAACTAGAACACGCGCGCATGCGGAACAGATATTCTGCTGTATCAATGGAAAACGAATTACTCGTGCAAAATTAAATAAGTGCTACTGACCAATCAAATAAAACGCGTAAGTTACTTACGGAAAAATCGCTATATGTAACACAAATGTAACGTAAATCACAAATGTATGACAAAATTTTTAATATCTCAAATTTTTTAATTTAAAAAAAATGAAAATCATGTATATATAAAATATTTTTTTAAATGATATATATCTATATATATATTTTCACAGATATATTTTCATAAATCTCACTTTAGAAGAATATTTTATATATATTATATTTAATAAGGAATAAAATAAGCCAAAAAAAATATTTCTGAAATTAAAAGATAGAATGAAAGAATATAAATAAAGTCTTCATTTATTGTTAAGCCCACTTCTTCCGTTCTCTCTTCTAGCTTCAGAAATATTTCCTTTAAAAATAAATAAATATAACTATATTGTTTCATTTTTATATGAAGTATACTGACTATAGTATAATTATATATTTAATATGTAAAGTATAGTTAATAACTATATAGTTATATATTTTAATATTGTTATTGTGCAATGCAACTCACGTATCGTCGACATGTCCTCTAGTAGCTGGTGTAGATCGTCCGGCACGTACCGTATCTTTGAGAAGCGATCGAGGTTCCCGAAGCTTTCCATCCCTAGAGCTGGACACCGTCGTCGAGGAACGTTCGGATCCCGAGCAGAGCACCGCCCTGGAATTGAGTAGTCCAGATTAGCATCCGGCCTTGACACCGTCAAGGTAACAATGATAAATATGCTTTAGAATTACGCACAAATCGGACAAAAGACCGTTACGCTACATTTGAGTAAGTGATAATGGCGGCGGACGAGTTTGCTCATAATCGGCCAACAGGTAATAAAATATATACAGGTAGTAATATATGCAAATAGTAATATATACCTCAAAATTCTTTTAAGAAGAGGAGGAAGAAACCAGAAGAAACTCGAATATAGGATCGAAAGGGCACGCGCGCATAAAAGACCGCGACAAGTTACGACGAGTTATGCAGAACGCGAAAATACGTCTTCTTCTTCGATGCCCCCCACGAAGACTGAACTTTTTCAAATATATAGCAATAGCACATACACCGCGCGCGGGAAGCGCTCTGATTGGCTGACGATTGCAACAAAGATCATGCCATTAGGGCTGCATTTATCTTGACGATGTAAGTGATAAAAACGTTTGATTAACTGATCAGGATAAATAAATCTTTACTCCGACTGGTTTATCAAACGCTTTCATCACATATAACGTCAAGATGAACGCAGTTTTGATATCCCTTTGCTGGCACTTTTTATACTAAATTTGTCTCCGCTTTCTCTCTCTCTCTCTCTCTCTTTCCAACACATAGGCGATATACGCCTATTTCATTTCGTACATTAAATGTTTGAATAAATGTAAGCAAAAGATACATAGATTTATCTGAAAATATTGTCAAACCTGCATAATTCCATAATGGCGCAATTTTCAATTATAACAAAGCAAAATTCTGCACAGATTTTCTTTGCTCATTAATAACTAATATTGATACATGTTTATTTTTAGTATTGCTTCGATTATAAATATTTATTATCATACTTATCAAATTCTGTATATAGACAAATTTTGAATAGATATTGATATTTTCGATACTTACTATTAATTGACACAAGCACTATAAAATATTTTGTCAGTATATAAAATAAGTAAATAAAATAAAAAATAAAATAAGAAATAAAATAAAGAAAAAAATAAATAATATAAAAAACAATAAAATAGAGTAAACAAGATATAAGAGAAAAAATAAATTCTTATTTAAAATATTTATACAAATATTTTTTTATGAGAATATAAAATAATGGCTGAACGTTTCTTACACATATAAGAGTATCAAAATACACACACACATAAAGTTTCTATTCTTTCTAATGTTCCCTAATATGTTAATATAACTCCATAAAGTTAATATAACTTTGCATGTAGATTGTATATCATTTTTTGTTTCTGCAGGTCTCCACGACCATCGAAATCCTTGGCGGTGCCGTTACCTATGGATCACAGTCCATTATGGACAGCTTTGACGCATGCTAATGCGGTCTCTGCGGCCTTGGGAGATACCTAGCAGGAGGTGGAAGATGGCAGCTATATTGAAGCTCTCGTTCTAGATCTGCCAATCATTTACTAACCAGCCAGTCTCTTTGACTGAATACCTTATTAAAGTATTCAGAAACAAGATTGGCCAATTTATTCAAAACTATTGTATCATACCGCGGCAACAATTGCGCTAAATAACAGGAAACATACTCTTTTAAGTCAAGAAAAATAAATAAAATAAACTTTATGAGAAAACATTCTTCGAGAGCATCATATCCTTGTGAGCATGTGTAACAAGACATCGCATGAAATTTTATACTACTATTTGCTCGCGACATTTGCGAGTAGAGCTTTTTACACGAAATAATTATATAATCCAGAATGTATGTGATAGTTGTAGGAAGTAGCTGGTCTACGATACAAATGTGTTAATGTAAATATAGATTTGTTAATATACAAACAAAAGCAGAATTATATTAATAAAATATTATTCGTAACTGTATTATACAGATTGGTATTGTATACATGTGTCATTAAACTTTTTAAGGATCCATTTTCTCATTAACGAATATCATAATAACATAAGAGATTAGATTATTTAACCTTATCTTTATTTATTAAAATCCAGATATAATACGTCCTTTCTTTGTTGCTTTTTTCAATTTGTTTAATTTCTTTTCTTTTTTCCTCTTCATAATATTCTCTTGTCGTTTCTCTTGCCTTTCTTGTATAGATTTTTGTACATTCTCTACTCTGGAATTCCATTTATTTGTACTATGTTTCTTTTTTTGTTCCTTTCGCTTTATTGTACGTTTGAGTAACTCTGGATTATCTTTAACCTATTAAATATATAATTGCATTAAGAACATGGAAGATTTCTGTATAAAGAATTTATAATGTGATAACAAATTAATATGTACTCTACTTAAATAAATCAGCTGATGCAAAATATAAGAATACAATAAATTTATAATAATAAAAATATAGAAACATGAAATTAATTCTATATTTTTTAAATTCTACATTTTTCATGATATTAGGGTAATTTTTTATAAAATGAAGTCAAAATAAATACATACTTTTTCACCACTCGCTTTTGCCAATGCAGATTTCCATGCATCTTTCTCTTTAATATCCTCAACTTTTTCTTTATCACCTAAATTTTCTAGTTGCTTCAATTTTTCTTTCTTTTGTTGTAATTGTTGTAACATCTTTTTAGGATCATTCTGATTTTTAGGTAATTTTTTCTTTACTCCAATCTCAGAGAAATCAAACTTACTAAACACCATTTTACCTTCTGAATTAAAAACTGGTTTTGGTTTCGGAACTTTTGGTACCTCTTCATTGTCAATCTTTATTTTACTATCACCAGCTGCATTTTGTTCTATCCTAGCAAGTTTTTGTTGTAGCAAACGTTGTTCCTTTTTTGTACTTTTTTTAATTCTGTTCTTCAAATTTTTTTTAAGAAGTTTTTGTTTATAATCTAACTTTTTCACACCCTTCAATTTTTCCAGTTTTTCGTGTAACTCAAAACACGTGTGTGCTCTTTCAGTTTTCTTGCCTGGTAAAATAAAAGTCTTGACTGCAACAGAAAATATGATTAGTAATATAGCTCAGAGAGAAAAAATTTTTTTTTGGTTATTAAACAAATAAGTTACAAATTTTTTTATCAATCTAGATAAAAGTACTAATTATTAATTACTCAAATAAAAAAAGATTTTATTTATTATTTATATATTCTATTCATTAAAATATATATAAAGATATAAGATTTCTCTCATTGGTATATATATAACAACCTTTTTCCCTCGATTCTTTTTCTCCTATGAATGGTTGATTCTGCTTTACTATATTAAAAAATAAAATATCGACTTTATTATAACATGAAAATATATAACCTCTAGATTTTTTTATATTGTTTTTAAAATGTTCTCACCTAATTCACACGTCGATAAAGGCATTATAGAGAATATATCCGAAATAAACTTGTCTTCTGTTAAAAGCATTTGATACACTGCTTTTTTATTGAATTTTTTCGACATTTTTAATTGCATCTTCTTCACAACTCACGTGTGTTTGGAAAGGATATAGGATATAGGTTATGAGCAGTAGCATACGCATATACACGCGCGCGCACATCAATAAATATATAACGGTTACAAAACAATTCAAATAACAATTCAATACAAAATAAAAATATGTATAAACATATTTCTTTCTTAAATACATCAACATTTTTTTACGTTGCTCGCAATTTTAACGTCAAATTACATCAAAATGTTATAAAATATTTGCGAGATATATTAAAAAATTATATTTAAACATTTTCTATCTCTCTCTCTCTCTCTCTCATCATTATTAAAACACATTCTTTACGTATAAATAGAAATCAAATTTTATTATTGCTTTTTATATGTTTTTATTACAGTTGTTTCTTTATAAACAAACATATCCCCTTCATGCCTTTTTCATTAGACAATAAAAATGAAAAAAGTATGTTTCTATAAACTAAAAAATTAACAAATGTATAGAAAAACATAATTAATATTTTTTAATGAAAAAAACCTTATCAGATAACAAATTTAATATGATGTTATATGTTTAACGTGATGTGATAATTAAAGAAGAATACTATTTACAACTATTTGTAGCTTCCTCTATCAACTGCGAAATTCGAAGAACAATAAGATTTTTTCCAAATAAATCAAAATTATCAAATTCTTCTTCAATAGTTACTGCATCTTGTATTGTTTTAAAATAAACACGACAATATCGTATATTAGTTTCTAAAATTGTCTCTACAAGCGTAGCCGAAATTGGGTTATATTTCTTAAACAAATGTAAAATATAATGCACGTCATAATTTGCATGAATATTAGCAACAATTATTTCCTGCATTGGTATAATCATGACATTAGATAAGGCATTCTTATTTCCAGATTGTGAAGAGCTATTGGACATTGCATCAAATTCCTTTTGCTTTATATCTGTGTCAGAGATTAATGCTGGTATTTTATCAGATATATCCTTATTCATATAAGTATTGGTATCTTGCTTTGTAAAAGAATGAAATTTATTCTTCTGTTGCTGTTCTTGATCATAATCAGATACTTCACAGTTAATGGAACTTTTTTGTCTTGATAGTGAACGTTGCTCATTAGATATCAGAGAATCTGAATCTGTAATTGCAGTTACAGATTTATAGCCATAGTTTGAACTTCGAGAATCAATATCGTTAGTATTGTTGTTAGTATTGTCAAATCTATCCTGATCAAAAGTTGTATTATGTATTAACTTTTCCTGAACTTCTGAGAATGTTTTATCATAATTGGAATTTGAATTAAGTTGTTTGCTAGTCTCTTGAAATGAATCTTGCGTTTCGGTAGGTTGCCAATGATATGAATTTCTTTGATCTGTTTTTTTCATTGTATCGCCGATTTTATCTTTTTGTGGTAATATACATATCACATGGTTATTTTGTAAGCCTTCCAAACATGTTATTGTTTCCTGCAATGTTTCATACTTTACAAATACAAGTCCATTAATCTTATTTCCACTGGCATTTACAGATATAACATTTCCATAAGATGAAAATAATTTTCTGATCTCTTCTAAACCGAGTTCCTTTTTGTTTGCAAAATGTATAACATAATTTCCATCTTTTACTATTTTATAATATTTTTCATAATCTATTTTATTTGAATTATTGACAAAATTTTGTTTTCTTGAAGAAAGCGAATTGGATTCCAGTGCATCTGATTTATCATATTTAATCGCATTTACATTAGATTTAAAGCTATGTGTTGAACTTTTAGAACCAGTATCTGAAAAATTATCAACATTGTCAAATCGACTATGCCCATTAGAAGTTTTTATATTATGAGTTAAACTTTCAATTTCTGAGAATTTTCCATTCTGAGCAGAGTTCAGATTTAATTGTTTATCAGTACCAGATGTTCTCTGAAATGAGTTTTCAGTTCTTGCTGTCTGCCATTTACATGAATTTTTTTTATCCAATCTGTTATTTAGATCATTCACTTTACTCTTTTCTGGTAATAACTGTACGATATTGTTGTTTGCTAAACCTCTTATACAGCATATTGTTTCGTCTAATGTTTCATAGTTTACAAATCTAAATCCATCCTCTTTCTCAGTAATATTTACAGCTACAACTCTTCCATAAGCTGAAAATATTTCCTTTATTTCATTAACACTGAGTTTCTTCTTGTTTGAAAAATGTAGAGTATAATAGCCGTTAACACTTCTTTTATAATATTTCTCATAATCCATCATAGTATTTGAAAAATTGTTGTCCATTGTTTTTCTATCGTCAGCTTTTGATTGCATATTTGTTGTATTGAAGAGTATTGTCATACAACACAATAGGTCAAAATATAAAATGTTCTGTATATAAATATATATATCTTCATGCAAAAAGTTAAACTTTAACTAAGTTCCAAATCTTCTAGCTGGATCTTCATTTGAAGTTATATCATATATGTATGATATTTTCACCTGTACATATAAAGAGAGAGAGAGAGATAAAATTAATATAAAAATATTTATTTCTTTTTTCGAATATAATAATATAAAATAATCTTTGCTTTTTTTGTCGCATTAATAATTACAATTTTTCTCACCTAATATTATAAAAAATCGCTTGTAAATACAATAATGTGTTTCACTCGACATCAGCTGAATAGCGATTCTTTATGAGCTGTCTTCCTAAACGTAAGTATCACGTGTCGAAATCTCTTTATTTAATGGTATATTACTTTGATATTACTAAATTCTTTTCTATCTCATTAGACTATTAGTGCGTAGATCACGAATGCATGCGTGTGATCACCTACGTGAAAATTCCTTTAGACTCTTTCCTGCATAAAAAAATATACTACAAAAACATCGAATATACATATTTTAAGATATACTGCGTTTGATGTCACGAAAATTTCGAAGCGTTTGATCAGAGCGAAGACGCTTTTGTCCCTTTATTCTGATTGGCTAATTAAACTATTAGAAATCTTTGTAGCGTCGTATCTAGGAGCGCGTTCCGTTTCACGCATTGAGCGCATAGATCGCCTGGAAATCTATAATATATGTTACGTGAACTATAGATCTATGCGCTCAATGCGTGAAACGGAACGCACTCTAGATATTCACGCATCATGACTGTGGTTCTGAGAATATGATTGGTCAATCGACTGATGTAGTGAAAATCCCTAAAGTATCGATCGATATAAGGGATTGTGTGCTTGGAATTTCCTATATTTTTATTATGCATGGCCTACTTTAGTATTTGGCTGAATACGGAATGAATTGCTCCTATATCTGAAGACAGAAGATGAAATTGATTAAAAATATCAAGGCATCTTGTTTCTATAGGTATTCTTACTATAATTAGTTTAATAATCACATGATAATCCATAAGCTCGGATAATTTGAAACATCTGATTAATTAATATTTGATTTAATAAAAAAAATTAAGCTCTTCTTAGTGACCAAGTCTAGTTAAATCAAAATGTAAAATTCATGGATATTTTCATATATATTCAACCCTGTTTTCACATACTACATTATTATAATATAAATAATTCGTGCGGCTATTATACGTCTGCGAATTGAAAAAACGAAGCACAAAAATAGAATCAAGCCGCGCGTTTAATTTAGTACGTTTCCCGCTTCGCGAATATAGCCGCTGATTGCACGGCAGCCATCTTGCGCTCGAGCCTGCGCACAAAGTCCGTAGTAATTTACGACTCGCACACAGACACAGACGCGCGAATCCCTCTCGTCCGAACGACGCGTCTTCGCGATCCGCGACGCGCGTCATCGCGATCCGCGATTTTCTATCCCGATAATCGTCTCGATCAGATACGGCTCGACGCCGAAACCGCGTTCGATCGGCTCGAAATATTTGCGCGGCAAAAAAAAAAGAAACAAGAGGACGATTGAGCGAGGGAGAGTGGGCGGAGTTGTGTGAAGTTTGCATCGTTCGTCTGGAGGGCAAAACTCGCGCCACGTCGGGACACTACTCATTCGCATCTCCGAGAAGCAAGCGAGATTGTCGTTCTCGAGGTGTGAGGTGAGAGATGAAGTGTCCCTTGTACAAGAACGCGCGGAAAGGTTAGGTTATGAGATCGCGGTGACGAACGTCGAGGTCACGCCGTTGTAAATAAGAAGGTGGATGCGCACGCGGACAACGGATGGGAGAGCGACGAAGAGGGTGAGACGCGGCGGCCGATGCATGGGACGCTCTGATTGGCCGCGGCGGCTACTATGGCCGCCGATTGGCGCACGCACGCACAGTATTGCCAAGGTACACATACGCTCACGTATGCCCGCGAGCGAGCCGCGTAGCAGTCGCTCGAGCGACCGAGAACAGTGAGAAGAGCGACGGAAACGGTCGGTTCGCGCGCGACGTCGTCGTCGTCGTCGTCGTTGTCGTCGTCATCGTCACCGTCACCGTCACCGTCGTGTGATTGCCTTGTAAAAGCGGAAAACTTCGTGTGCGACGTCCGTGACGCGGATGACTCGGAAAACGACGCCGATCTTCCTTGGCCGTAACGAATAGAGTCACACACCGACGAGGAAGAAAGATAAGAGAAAGAGAGGAGATATTATATATATACATATATATATATATATATATATATATAGTGACGAGGAAGGAGTGCGGACCCGGGCGCGACACCGACCGTCTCGACACAACCGCGTATACGTAAAACTCGACAATCCGTCAAAGTTTAAATCGCCGCCAAAGGCACCATTTTCTCTTGACCCTATATTGTGTATACCAGATTTTAGAAACTGAAATAATTAGAGGTGTGCGCGCGAGAGAGTGCGGAACGGACGAAGATAGAAGATCGGAGGTTTGGAAGCGTGCGGCGCAAGAGGGAGAGACGTTAGAGAGAGAGAGAGAGAGAGAGAGAGAGCGTCAGAGTGAGAGAAAGGAACAAAACGGAGCGTGCGGAGTTAAAACTGCCGAACGATACGCGCAGAAGGACAAAGACCACGGCGTCAGCATAACCTCCAACACGTTCGCGTTTCGGGGATCGCTGCGGGAAGCAGCAGTGCATAAAGTCACGAGGTATTTGTAACGACAGAGATAAAGAGAGTATATTTTTGCAAGTGTGCAAGTCTCCGAAGCACAACGTTTCCGAAGAGAAAGAGAGGGTGAGCACGTGCATCATCGCATCCGGCGCATCGTCGTATCGTTCGTCGCGCTCATCCCTGTATAAGTTTCTTATTCGAAACGCGTCCCTTTGCAACACTGATCGGGGCTTGGTATACGAGTATAACGCGTAAGTGTGGTACGTGCGTGCGTGGTGTGCTCCGTCGGTCGTTTTCGCGACGGAGCAAATATAAGTAAACACACTATCAGACACACACAAATACAAAACACATACATAAGAACGTGAGACACGCGAACACGGTGGTCGACGACTGATCCACCACCGAGAGCTAAGGAAGCGGAGTCCGGTTGATGGATGAGACTGGCAATATGCTACAACACGGAGGTTCAGGTGTGGGTCTGATGGGTGGAAACCAGGGCCAGGCGGCCCAGAACACGGCCGGTTATGGCAGCATGGGTCCGGTCGACGGCACCGCGACCCAAGGCCCCGATCAGACGGTCGAGGCCAGGAAACAGGACATCGGCGAGATCCTGCAACAGATCATGAACATCACCGATCAGAGTTTGGACGAGGCGCAAGCGAGGTATGTGTATCCCTTTTCCGCCATTTTTTTAACGTGCTCGCGCGCGGGATGCGGTCTTTTAATTTCGTTGAATCTTGCTCTTCTCGAGATATCTCCCTTCGATTCACTTCGACACCTTTGTAATTTTCATTTCAAATACATGATGATTATTTAATAATTAATATTTTTCTTTTAATATTTTAATATTTTTAATATTTAATATTATATTATTTATTTAATATATTTAATATATCGCAATATATCTAATATTTACAATGCTCTGTATTAATGAAAGAGTTCAATATTTAATACTTTTATATAAAATGCTCGACATACGCGTTAATAATATATCGGAGTAGAAATTATCCTCACGACTCGTTAATCGTGCAATTAAAGATTTAATGATACTTTTCGATTTATGAGGTTGATTCGTTACCGCGTGTAAATTCTCATAAAATCAAGATGATGCTTGCGCGATATAAAATACGATGCGTGTACGATGCTTTTATTTTGAATCTCGACGATTCATGGGAGCGCATTTTATCGGATAGATTACGTACAAAGTATCCGTGTATAAATACATCATCGGTTCTTGCAGCGTCACGCACAAAAAATGCATCTCCATATTTATTTAAGAAATCCGAAGCACGCAATCTTTGCAGTTTAATTGTATGAAATGAAAGATAATTAATGACGATGAACAACACACATGTTATCTATGTGCAATTATGCTTGGCAAATTATAGCTCGTTGTAATCAGCCTAATTTATCTCACGGTATACATTATACATATCTCGGCAATCATTGACTATATCTATCGATGATATGATTCGACAACTGAATATGCAAACTTCTTCTGTATTTAATCTAGATACAATTGGCGAAGAGAGTCGACGCTACGTTTGCAAATAAACAACTGTCGAAGGCACAAAATAGGAACGCGTTGCTCGCGTTCCTTCTATATATTTTTGGCCATATCGCGTCTGTGGCCACTATAGGCATTTAATCTACATATTCACCTGGCTGTGCCTCGCGTGTGTTATATATTCAAGTATCTAACCGTGTATTCGTGTGTTTGATGTCGCTACAAAGAATGTGAGATGTGCCTTCCACGAGAATATACATGCACTCCATGTAGAATGATGGGGAGAGTTCTTGTAATTTCATGGCGCGCGTTAAACGTTGGCCATTTAAATACAGTCCTGAATTAAGTGTACGACCCTGAATTAAGTTAATGCTTTTATTAATACCGAGCCGACTCATTTTGATATAATCAAGGTGTCATTAAATGCGTATAATCTCATGTAATTTGCATACGGAATGGCGCATTTAGATTTATCTCTTTCTTTTGTTATACAGAACTAAGATCGATCTTTTCTTTGAATATTTTTTTGTTTTCCTTTTGCAACATTCCTCGAAACAATTTTTTGCGATTTTAATTATCTTTACTGTACTATAGTTTGCTCGTATCTTGCTTGCAGGAAACACACTCTCAACTGTCATAGAATGAAGCCTGCTTTGTTTTCCGTCCTCTGCGAGATCAAGGAGAAGACCGGTGAGTGATTTTTTTCCGGCATTGCCGTTTGTCCTTTTATACTACCTGGATCATGAAACTTTACGCACGAATGACTCGCTTATTACATGCCGCGCTAACAGTTTAATGGAATTTTTAAATTAGTCAATTTCGGTGAAATAAACCGGTATTTGCACTTTTCCATAGAGATTAACCGTAGATAATCCAACGATTTCTCTCGCGTCATATCGCGGCAACATCGTGCATTCATACATATGTATCCATGTATTTTCACGCGACACGGAAATCGAACGTTGCGAGGATATATTATTATTTATGCAACGTCATTGATTATATTTGCTTCTCGCGAGTGGGAGTTTTATTCCCCGCTCCTCTCTCCCTTCTTCTCCGTGTAAACGCGAGTTATTGTGTGTCATAAATCATCGGTCTTATTTAAAGCGCTGACTTTCGACGCCCGGTTGCGTGTTTGGAATTGATTTTTAAATTGCGTTTTTAACTCGGATTCGATTGGGGTGGAAGAGGGAGGGGGACTGGGAGAACCGGTATAATCTCGAAAAATTCAGTCGTCGATGCGTTACGTGCATGCGCGGAAAAAAAGAATTTCTATATTTAATCATCGTGCAGAGAGAAACGAACGATAAATAAACTCTGCATATCGAGTTATACTTATAGCATCGATCGAGCACATCGGGACGGTGTGCTTCGAATTCAATCTCTGAATAGCGTACCCAACTGCTTCATCGTGTAATATCGCCGACATTTCGAGTCGTTGTCGCGGCTCATAAGCGCGGTAGACCGAAATCGAGGAATCGGAAGAGATCCCTATCTGCAACCCCCACGTTCACGATCCCTTTGGCCACCCTCGTCGTCGCGCGACCCCTGCGGCCCCTATTCGAAACTCGTAAACATAATTTTTATGCGATGTTTGGATTACTTTTACGCGCGGATCAAGAGACCGCGAAACGCGCAATTATTTTCGGGGGATGTGATCGAGGAAGAAAAAGGAGAGAGAGAGAGAGAGAGAAAGAAAAAGAGGGAGAGAGTTGGAGCGGGGAGCAGACACGGGGAGTTTTGAGAAAGATCGGTGGGGGGTTGCCGGTTTACGTCAAAAGTATTTGGTGGGGGTGGAAGAACTACACCACCACGCCCCTCACACATGCTAAGCTATCCCCTTTTGCATCAGTTTTCCGGCGAGTATGCGTACACATACATAGGTTCGCGCGTAGATGTATACACGCACGAATAGTCACGAGGGTGTCGTTGCCGAAGCACAGGCACCAGTGATGTCAGCAACGACATTCCACGTTTGTGTGACGTTATGCTATTTCGGTAATATTCCAAAAGGGCGTTGGGCGCATTCACGACGAGAGGAGACGATGCCCTTTTCGTGGTCGAGGAGAAGCGAGATCGCTCTATTGGATGCTTTCGTAATTTTATTAAAAATATTTTTGGAAACTCTGTGCATTTTTTTATTACTATTATTATTTTCTCTCTATCGTTATATTCTTTGTTACTAGCTCGGTTATATCGGATTTTTAAATTGTGCTTTGCCTGAAACTTAAGAGGGCCATTGACCTCTCACTGGTGTCTCACAATATAGTGCTGACGCAAACAGCAAAAGAAAATATCTCGCTAAGATATTTTATCAAGAAATTGTAAAATTTTTTATAATATTTTACAAAGAAATCTGTTTTTTTTTTATCACCGCATTACTAATTACATATATTTATCTTTATTTATAACACCAAGAAATATTCTTAACACACATTTTCTTTATTTTAACATTATATTGAGCATTGAATACTTTATGAGAAAACTTTTGCAATCGAACAGAAATAATAGTATATATGATAATATTTTAAAGCGATTGAAATATATTTAGAACTTTAGAATAAGATTTTAATATATTCTGCAGATTTTATCGCTCTGTGGGAAACTTTTACTTCTGTATTTTATATATTAAAAAAGTCAATGACGAGAGGTATCGCATTGGAGAAAAATTCGAAGCATCGTTTAATATAGAAAAAAGAAGAGAGGCGAGAGTAGAGAACGGGAGAGACAGCTCGGTTCGGGTTTATCGTAAACAAAAAGGGCGTCAAAGCATGATGAGCACTCGAGACGATGAATCGTTTTAATGGTCCTGTATCTTTTACGAGTTTCACCAGCCGGGCTGCGTGCAATGCACGCGTGCGCGGAAAAATGTACCGAGAGCTCTCTCTCTTTCGCGTTGCGGAAAAAAGCGAGACGCGAGATAGTCGTAGTTGAGTTTATGGGCGATGGCTGACGAGGCAGTGAAAAAGTACTAAACCGAGAGGAGCAGATAAACGCTATGTTAAGCAGACCGTTTTACCAGCCATTTAATATAATCTGCTCTCGCGCGCGCCGCTCAGTATCAGGACCGTACGAAGGGGGTCTTTACCTCTTTGTTCGACGCCGATGGCATAACGCGTATAACGCGTGATTTTTATTGCGCAAATCATTGTTTTTGTCGGCTTTTTTCAAACGAATCCAAATTTCTTGCGAAAATTGACGTTAATTTTTGGGATGACTCGCATAAATTCCTCCGCCGTTATATGAAAGTTGTATCGTAATCCTAAATGTATAAACAAAGCCTACTCCTTAAGTATTTAGATCTGCGATGATGGATCAAAAGTCTTAAATTTCATATTTATATTCTGAAAATTTAGCTCGAGATACGAATCATAGGCATAGACTCACACGGTCACATCCAACGCTAAATATACGACGCGATTATGAGATATGCAACTATAGACGACTCGTTTGATTCGCGTTAATGTACTGTCCTACTTTCTCGGATATCACGCATAGTGATCGATCGTGCCTCTCTCTAAGAGTCAGTCAGCCTCCGAATACGATTTGTCACGGTCAAATTGGTAGAGGGACGTTTTCCTCCCGTAGCGCTCCGCGCTGATCTTCGAAAACCTGTTTTCGGAGCGAACACACCGCTCAGGACGATTTCCCGTGGGACACGCGTAGATCCTGAATACCGACAAGAACGGAGAGAGAAGGCGGGCCGGCCCGAAAATCCGCGGGATTTCTCGACTCGCCTTTCAACCGTGGCCCCAATCCTCCCTTTTTTTTTTTTGTCCACCCGTGTGTGGACAGCTCCTCGCCTTTGTACAGAGCAGCTGGCATAATCCTCCGCGTCGAAAAATCCCGAGAAGATACCATCGAATACGTAGCGGGGGTTAAAATCTGGCCTGCACAATGAATGATGGTCATTTCGATAATTATCGAGCGGGGAGAATCGTCGGACGATAAACTTTTTGGCGTGCGCGCGCGCGATAAAACAAACAAAATTAATCCGCGGCCAAACAGATAATTCGGCCGAATAATAATCCTCGTCGCTGCCATTAATCACGGATCGGCCGGTTATTGATTTGGCGCTGCGCGTATTCCGATTGGCTGACTTTACTTACGGTTCGTCATTGCGCGCTCATGACGCATGTTTCGCGGCCTGCGTGCGATCGGTTATTACATACAGAATATCTTGTGCGTGTAGACGTATCTCCCGTCCATCGTGATGATTTATTTAATCGTAGAGGATAGCACGGCCGTCGTGTCCGCGAATTTGCAGTTTCGAAACAACGGTATAACTCGCGCTAACAATTAAAAATCCATATTCGATTTGGCCGCCGGCCAGTAATTCTATTTCCCTTCGCGCACACCTATAACGCGTGCAATACCCTGTGCACGATGCCTCTGTCATTGTCGTTATACTCGGCGTCGCTCGATACTTTCAATATAGCGCGCTATTCATCGGAGAAAATCAATCGTTTTACCAACGTTAATCGGGAACGATCGAGTCCCGAAAGAACATTTTATTCCCTTACGAACGATGTATTTTGCACAGATTTTACGCAAAGATATATATTCTTGCGCTCTTGAGTTGCACGATATGTTAATATTAATCCGAAAGGCGAAACGAGGTTGAATCCATGTGAGCCTTGAACACTGCATTTTGCTGCAACTAACCGACCTTGATTTCGCAGAGCACATTTCACGCTGGATTCACCCTCGCCCTTATCTCCCACATAATTAATAGTTCCCTGTGCCTCCATTTATTTAAGCGAAACGAATTTTTTTCAACGCACCGAATAAACACACTCTTGCTTCTGATTATCTCTAAGCGATTAAAAATTCATTTGCTTTTAACATTTCTTTTATTGAAGAAAAATTTCTAAAAATATATTTCTCAGAAATTAAATTTATAATATAAATTTTTAATATATAAAATTCTATATATTTCTATTGTATATATACGTTCTGTGTATTATAAGAAGTAAGACAGATATATGCCGAGAAAACGTGAAGAAATAAACATCGTGGAAGAAAGTTAATCGCGCATCCTATTATTGTTATTACAATGTACGAAATGTGCTGGCTTCGATTTTCGAGAGGTTGACGCCGCTCATTCCGGCTCCAGCTGGAATGTCGTTCCCCTAGCTTTGCTTTCCTTTTCTTCTTGTTCCCGCGCCTTGCTTTCCCCTCCTCTCCTTTCTCTTTCTCTCTCGCTCACTCTCTTTCTGTCTTTTTCATCTGTGATACTCGCATGCAGATGGGGTTTCAGCATCCCAAGGTGAACCGGCCCCTAGCTCTCTCGTTCTCTCCTTTTCCGTTGCCATTCTTGCTTTCTTTCTCTCTCTCTCTCTCTCTCTCTCTCTCTCTCTTTTGAGTCTCGAACTTCTTCACGGAGTCAACTAACGAGATTTGTCCGATTCGAGAAAGTACGCTGTAACACGCGCGCGCGTACTGATTTATCGCAAAAAATTCGCACGCTCGCGGTAAATCGCAAAGTAAGCGTGCATGCTCCCTTTCGTTAAGGAAACGTTAGAGGAATGTTTCTTAACGAATACGTTCCTTCCTGCGTTTCGCGTTCTGCGGAAAACAAGCCCGGTTGATTCCCATGATTCGCTTTAATTAACTCAGACGATTACGCGTCGCGCGTATTCGTTAATTAGCGGCTTGCTGTGACGGCGAAAAGACGGCCGCGATACGCG